GGGGGGAAGGGGAGGGGATGGGGCCCGCCGTCCAGCAAGAAGTGCGTCGTGTCGTTGGACGAATGCTTCGGCTGCTGCTGTCGTTGCCATACCGCCGGCTGCTCACCCCTCTGGTTCCTCGCCTCTCCAGTGCGCGCTTGCTCTCCGCGCATGGCCTTCGCTCGCCAGGTGTGCGGCCGGAGGTCGCAACGGGGCGTGGCGGGCGCGGCGGCGCGGGCGGCGTGGGGAGGGGAGAGGGGCGGACACAATATAAGTCCTCGCGCCAGTCTCGCTCGTAAACCGACGCCGGCAAGTCCGATACGGCTCCCTTTTCCTCGATTTTATGGACAACACACCACTCTCGATTTTTGTTGTTATTTTGCGTTGCCGCAGCAGCGCGAATAAGGGCGCAACACGCTGGAGGAGGAGGAGGATAGCGTCGTGGTGGTTGGGGAAGGAGAAGGGGGGAGGGGGGGGGGCGTAGGCCGATAGGAGTGACAGCCTAGCGAAGACGCCCCGACCGCTCCCCGCCCCGCAGTATGATTGGCCTCGGTGCTGCGCTGCCAATTTCCCCCAAGAGGGCGTAAATCAAGGCCTCAATAATAAGGGCGGGGCAGGGCGGGGCGGGCGTTATTGTGGGAGAGCAACTATTAAACCAGAGTAAGTATCTGTCGCTGTGATTTCGGTCCAGGTGCCTTCTCCCACCTGCAGCAACAGCGGGAATCACGTCTTCCTGCAAGGCGCCTTATTTTGCCCCAGTGGAGCGGGCCTTGGGCTGGAGGGGCGGATCTCTCAGATCCTCGAATGGCAGTGAGCTGCGTGGTCATGTGCTGGTTGCTGGTCGACTTGTACCGCACTACCAGTACTCATTTAACACTGTACAAAAAGAGTTGCTCTACGTTACACACATATGCACCGCGGCGCAGGCGCATAGGTCTCCTCGAGAGCCTCGCCGTCACGCCCGGCAGCAGCAGAGGTCTCGGTGCGTTACAAACGGCCGGGGGACGAAATAAATTCGTTTTGAAGCTTAGCTGCTTACCGCGCGGCGTATCAGAGAGAGGAGGAGCCGAGTCCTGGGCCGCCGCACCTCCCCGCGCCGCGCTCCGGGACGATCGGTCGTAAAGGACGAGCACGCCAGCGTGCTGGGCATGAGCGGCATATTTCATAGTCATATTCTCCACAAAGCAGCCGCGTATCATATTTTTCTTGAACAAACAGTTGGTGCCTCTTTTAAAATATTTTTTGTGCTTACTGAAGAATAAACGTTAAGAAGGCCAGCCGTTGCGACGGTTTATATCTCTTCTTATCTGGAGCGGGTCGGGCGCCGCTGCGATGCTGTGGGAACCGACGGCGGCGACTCAGGAGGAGCGCGTCGGCGCGGTGGCGGCTGTGATATGGTTCCACCCGCCGCCTGCCCGCCCTGACCTGGACCTGGCCGCTAACGGGTCCGGCTCCGGGGGCACACGGTGTACGACGATAGCCCGCCTCCCCGCCCCGGGCGCACCCCACAGCAGCAGCAGCAGCCGGCGGTACGGGGGCACAGCCGGGGCACCGCGGCCATAACGTCAATCACCGAGATGTCGATCCAACGTGCCGCGGGCCACCCCGCCCCGCCCTACTGTACCCCA